CTGCAATTTTACAATCGATCACCGTTTCGCTTTTGTGTTTATATGAAAAAATCAACCCCTCTTCCCGTGTACATAAACTAGAGTACTTCACTTAACTTCTAACTTTGTATAACCAGTACATTACGTTAGAGACAAAAAGTGATTGGTAGGAATAGTAATATCATCTAAGAGGGGTTGATTTTTTCATATAAACACAAAAGCGAAACGGTGATCGATTGTAAAATTGCAGGGGTAAAGTCGATTCATCAAGTATCAAAATAATTTTCAATCCTAATCTATCAGCCCATTGTTTTATAAGATTTTTTGGAATAAACAAATGATCTAAAGTGGGAGAATTGGATAAATGAGCTGATCGATTCTTGTCTCGTCGGTATGACTTCAGCGCTTCAGAACGTTTAGCAGCATCATTTAAATCCAATAGAGCAATGGTTCCGTTTTCCCTAACAACGCGTGCCATTTCTGATAATGCATCAAACGCATTTTGGTACGTCTGTAAATATTGAAATACACTATGCGAGACTGCATGAGTAAAAGAATTTGAAGGTACGATCGAAGCATTTGTTATATCTGCTATCCAGAAATGTTGAATTCCAGCATCACGGTCGACAGAAGGCGTCAGCCACTGATCGGCTATTTGAATCATAGTTGGGGCAAAGTCAATACCGAATACATGAATGTTTGATTTAACACCGCACCGAGTCGAAATTTCATATAGAAAAGCTCCAACACCACAACCAAAATCGATTACTGAAGAGCCAGAAATAATTCCAGCAGGTTTCGCTAATGTGCAAGCCAACGTATTCCACTGTTCTTTATTCAGGTGAAATCCATCGACTTTGTAATATTCAGCTATACTTTGCGAAGATAATGCTAGGCCAGCTTTAAGTTGAAAAAGTTCACGCCATGTTGATATTTCATATTGTTTAGTGTTCTGATTCTTTTCATTGGCAGTAAACGAGAAACGAGAATGAGATGGAGTCACATAGATCTTATAAATAAGAGTCCAACACACAATAAATAAACTTATTACTAAATATCGTCTTGGAACGTTATTCAACATATTTATTGTTTCTTTTTCCTGAAAGGAATAATCTAAAAACTGTATTTGTTCAATTTTTTGTTTGTTTTTTTTAGATTTGACAACAATCAATCACAGAAGAAAGTGAGGAGTATGGGTTTGATTTCTAGATTATGTATATTAGATGATAATTTAACTCGAATAGAGCGTTGTCTTCTTTAGTCTTATTCACTTAGAAGTCTACTCGGATAATAAAAGACTTATAGGTTCGCTTCTGCCAAGAGCAAATTTTTACATTCTGTCACTATAACATCTTCTCCTTTTGAATGCTTATGTGACTGTGCCTCTAGCTTTGGAATAAACAGTTGCAGAGCAAGGAAGTTTTCTAATTTTTAATATAGCTGGTTGTAATTTCTACAACTATTCTTCCGTACTCCACTATATTAGTGTTCTAACTTGTCTTCTTCCTTCATGCACTTTGCTTCATAATTTGTAACTTGCTTTTTCCTGGACCGCAGATAGTTTCTTGTATATTTGAACGCATGGCTATTTTTGAAAACTTCACGTGTTATAGTATCACTGATGGCAAATATTTATTAAAAATAAGATGTTATAAAGATGTTTCATAAGAATCCTATTCGAAGTAGATTAATTTCTCATTTCAATTTTCTGTCTAGCAAGGGGAAAAGCTGATTTCATGATTTTACTGATTTAGAATGATTTCGAATCTATGCATTAGTTTGTTAAATGATTTTGTTGACTCTAGAATCTCTACGTATTTGCTATCATTTTTCTCAATTACTATATCGCTATAGTATTGCAAGTTTCTTAAAATTATTAATACAGGCGAGTTCAATGGACTCTGCCATGTTTCAATCGATAGAAACGCAAGTGACTGCATGTAATCTCAATTAGCGTGTCAGACAGAAAAATAAATCTTCTTTATTTTATTACTTGATCGCAACTTATTCCCAATAAGGAACGGTAAACAATTCTCAGGTCATTCCATGGGATTTCTGCCACATTTACGTGACGTATCACTTATCAAAGTGAAAATTTCAGCGTTTCTAGAGCTCAACGAGACAATAATTTTGATTTATGGGTTTTGTAGAAAAAATATCTTCGCATCTATGATTTCCAAAAGCCGACGTTTAGTAGTTTTTTATCGTATAGAACATTACTATCGATTTTTGGATGTTTTTTCATCCCTTTTTCTAAGTGGATGTAATCCATAATTTTCTAATTGCCCAGCTTTCGTAAAAGATTAGTTTTATTCAGCCTTAAATGTAGTATCTATAATAATATTGTTTTCAATTCTAAGACTGCTTTGTAATGAATGCAAGAGAAAGAAAATACGAGCGGTCCCCTTTTTTAAGTAACTGAGAAAAGTGAGAAGTGGCTTAGATATCAATTGAAAAGAAATATATCTTTTCAAATTTTCCGAAAAAGTGAAATAATAGAAAAAACATAGCGCGACTTGTTCTACAAGATGGCATTATGCGTTTTTCGGGACGATCAAATTTACTAAAATGGGATAAGAAATATTTTTTGGTAGATTTCGATATTTTCAACTTATTTCTCGATATTCAAATACTATGGGATTCAACAAATATTAGAATATTTAGACTAGTGCATTCATAAATTTGCAATCTCAGAAGCAATTAATTGCAATTACACGTTCCTTCTAGTATCTATTTCATGTTTTCCATTTTAGATGACATACAAAAAATGTCTGCAACACAGAAATGGCATTGAAACTTTAATATAAAGTGATAAATATGCAAGATAGAACCTTAAATGGTGTGGATATTATCGGAGTTATTAATGTGGGTGTGTATGGTTGTGACTGGCGTGGGATGCATCTGGACGCGGAAAGGGAGTTCTTAGATGGGTGTGGGTGTGTGTATGTGAAATCGGTACGGATGTGGCAAACGTGGGATAGAGAAACGCGCTGGTAGAATATAGGGGTGGGAAGTTAGGGTGTGGGTGTGGGTGTGGGTGTGGGTGTGGGTGTGGGTGTGGGTGTGGGTGTGGGTGGGGGTGTGGGGGTGGGTGTGGGTGGGGGTGGGGGGGGGGGTGGGAGGGGGGGTGGGGGGGGGGGTGGGGGGGTGGGGGTGGGGGTGGGGG